ATGCAACGTTTTATTTAATTAATGAAAATGAAAGCTGTCACTATTAGTATAACATTTTGAAAAACACCTATATTTGAGCAAGGCATTGATACTGAAATATTTTCTGATTATACATGCCCTGCATGTCATAAAAGATAATTTGAAAACTACAGAAAAGCATTAAGAAGAAAGTATTGTCCTCACTCTTTAATTGCATCAGCCATTTGGTTTTATGTTTTACATTTAGCTATGTGGTCCATTTTGAGTTAATTTTTATATAAAGCGTGAGGTTTAGGTCAAGGTTCTTTTGTGCATATGTGTGTGTATTGATATCCAATTATTCTAACATTATTTGTTTTTGCATAGATCACTTTTTGTAGTTTTTTTAAAGGTGATTACTATAGGCATTACAATACATATACTTAGTCTATATAGTGTCAGTATTTTATTCTACACTTCAATTGGAATGTAGAAACTTATCACCCATGTTAATTTGCTTGATGGTGGTGATCATTTCACAATTTATACGTATGTTAAAAGATCAAGCCAAACACCTTTAATACATACAATTTTTATTTGTTAATTATACCTGAATGAGGATAGAGGGGGAAAAAGAAACCTTATCACTGTGTATGTCTCTTTAACCACCTCTATGTTGTGTTTATGTGTCTTATATATTGTATATACATGTGGAAAAGGTCATCACACAATTTTTTTTTGCTCTAACCCGATAACCATATTTAATGAACTCAAAAGGGCACACTAGTCTATTCTATTTATATTCATCCATATATTTACCATTTCCATTGCTCATCTTCATTCTTGTTCCAAGTTTCCTTCAGGTACCATATTCCCTTTGTCTGGAAAACTTCCTGTACCAATTATTTTAGACCCAGGCTGTTTACAGTGAATTTTTTTAGTTACCTTGGTATTTAGTCTTCATTTCTAAAGGATATTTTCACTGGATTTAGGATTTGGGATTCACAGTTGCCCTCCTCCCCCCAGCAATTAAAAGATGGCTTGCTACTTTATTCTGGCCTTTTTTTTTTTTTGTGGTTTTCAATTTTATTTGTATTTTTGTTTTAAATGAAAAATCCAGTTATTTGAATTGTTTTTTCCTTATAGGTATCACGTCATTTATTTCTAGCTATTTTCAAAGTTTTTCTTTTAAGTTTCAGCTGTTTGATTATGATATATCTGGGTGTGGATTTCTTTAAGTTTAATGCTTTAAAGTTTAAGGAGCTTCTTGAACTTGTAAGATAATATCTTTTGCCAAATGTGGGAAGTTTTCATCAATTACTTCTCCAAATAGGTTTTCTTCAATGAACTCTATCCTCATGATCTAGAATTCCAATTACATGAATATTATACCTTTGCCATTGTTTCATAGGTCCCAGAGTTTCTCTCTTTTTTTTATCCAATACTTTTTCTCTTTTTTTTAATATCGGACACTTTTTATTGATAAGTACTCAAATTCCATGCTTTCCCCCTACCTATCTTCATTCTGTGTTTGAACTCATTCAGTGAGATTTTTCCCCGTTTAATTTAGGTTGTTTTTACAGTTCTAAAATTTCCATTTGGTTCTTTATATCTCCTGTTCTCTGCTAACACTGTCAATTTTTTTCCTTTAAACGTGTTGTCCCTTACTTGCTGGAGGATTTTTATAATAGCTGCTTTAAAGTCTTTACTTGATAATTCCAGTATCTGTGCCATCTCAGTGTCTGTGAATGTCTTTTTTTCATGCAAATTTAGATTTTCCTGGCTCTTTGTGTGCTCTGTAAGTTTGGTTTTTATCCTGAGTGTTTTGAATATTACATTATGAGACTTTGGGTCTTATTTAAAACCTATGGAAATTGTTGATATTTTTGTTTTAGCAAGCAAGCAGTCCTGTTGGATTCAGGCTAATGTATCTCACCTTTCTTCTGTGGCTTTTTTATTCAATATCAGTTCTGTTGTCAAAGCCTTCACGGTAAGAGTTGGATGTGTCCCGTGTGTGAGTCCCATTTGGGACCTGGGCAGTGGCCTATCCCTTAGTTTAGTTCTCAAAGCTTATGGAATCTGCTTAGGGTGAGATATATAGATGCAGCTCAGAGGTGAGTCCAGGAGTTCATAAAAAACCCTGCGCAGGCTGGGCATGGTGGCTCATGCCTATAATCCCAGCACTCTGGGAGGCCGAGGCGGGTGGATCGCTCACGGTCAGGAGTTCAAGACCAGCCTGAGCAAGAGCGAGACCC